GATTGTGTATTGGATAATATGACAACAAGCAATATTGGCATTTAGAATGTTAACATCAAGAAGCACTGAAGCTGCTGAGGCTTGATGGGCACCAAAACTAAAAAGTGAGGCTCCTTCAAAAGGAGCTGTAGATTTCCTCTTTCATTACACAAGCTGAAAATATAGATGTTTTTGGTTAGCTAGCATGTTTCAAAGATCAGATTTGATTTTCATAGAGTTATTCATGGGCCCAAGTCTATGGCAGGATCCATATATTTCAGGTGGATTTTGAGACACCTCTATAATTGAAAGCAAACATCTCTCTCTCTCTCTTTCTCTCTCTCTCTCTCTCTCTTTCAGGAAAACACTAAGTATCTCTTCTACTTGATTTACATCCATATCTACATTCATTCATTTCAGCAAATATGCACTCAGCCCCTATTTGTATGTAAGGCTCTAGTCTAGACACTGGTAAGTCAGGGTGAAACACTGCACAGCCTTCTCTCAAGGAGCTCACAGTCCAGTGAAGGTTAGACTTGCACTGCCAATGCCAATAACTCAACTAACTTGTACTTATTGAGTGCCTACTATGTACCAGGCATTTCCTAGGTACTTTTTCTCTTTACAACAAGCTCATGTGGTTCATCATCATTATAGTCTACAGAAGTAGAAACCAAAGCTCAGAGACATTGAGTAACTTGTTCAAATGCCACAGCAGCAAAAAGGAGAGCCAGAACAGTACTCCAGAGCACATGCCCCCAACTTACACTAAAGCCATCCCATGTGCACTTTGGAGATAGGTCTATTGATTTGAAAGCAGGTGTGATCCTGCCCATGCCTTAGGTCAAAGCAGACTAGCCACAATGCAGAAAAGTATTAGATCTGAATATTATCATTGAGGTTGGTCTTGCATATACCACATACTGCCTATGCCAACAAGAATACTCTGTAGGCAGATCCATTCTCAGGTCAGGGCCTGCTGCCAGATTGTGTCACCAGGATTGTGAGATGTTCCCTTCAGTGAGGCTGAAGGGTCCATGCCTGCAAGGCACTTACATCATCACAAAAATCTGTATAAGACTGATTGTGGTGGCATATGATGGAAACAACATCTCTCTCCAGAAGTGAAAAGAAGAGAAAACTGAAACTTGGGTCTGTTATTATGAGAAGTTCATCTATCACCTTTCATGTATACCAACTTGTTTGATAATTCGAAAGTGGCTTTATATCCTCATGGTGTAATAATTTTTAAAAATGTTCCCATCTGTTATCAACCACCATGGCATATTTCTGTGTTCTCCTTGGCATTTTGAACGGTAACTGGGATTGAACAAAATAATGCTAGTTGAAGGCACTGAAGTTAATAAGGAAGAGACCAAAGTTAAAATGATTTCAGTTGTATAATTGAATACAATGTTGAGATAACACACACATGTAGGCACACTTGCACACACATGCTCTGTATCCGTAAATACTAGATCTTTCTAATGCTGTCTGATCTAATGAGATGAATGCACATACAGGCATTCTTTTTTTTATTATTAGATTGTAAAATGCTATTATCAAGGATACTTTTCATGTGTGTAGTGATTGAGAATTTTAAAGCACTTTCACATCATACATGAGCCTCTTGAGCATCACAGCAATCCTGTTATATAGCCAGGTGAAAAGAAATAAGGCACAGAGAGGGGAAGATAAATGCACAAAGTGCCCCACATAGGGATTGGTGGAACTGAGGATAGAAGGTAGGATTCTGAATTCCCATTAGAACATGCTGCCATGTCTCCAGATTCCCTAGATAGTTGCAGTGCCAGAAATTATCAATCAGAGTTCTCACAAGGCTTCCAGGCCCTGGTAAAGAAAATAAAGCAGCAGTGTAGATAAGTCACATGGATCATTCCTAGAAATTAAAAAGAAACAAACAACCAAAACAAAAAAACCCAACCAAGACGAGTAGATAAAAAAAAATATCCACCCTGCTTCTAAACTATTCATTCTGTTTTTCCATCCTATCAAGCATCTTACAGACAGCCAAATCCTTTGACACAATTACATTATTGGGAATGTTATGTTTAAATGGTCTGCTCTTGACACCTTCTCAGAACTGCTAAATGCCCTTCCACTTTACTGATCAGTGGGGAGCAGTGTTGGTAGAATGCCACAGATGCATGCACAATTACAGCTGTAAAATCAGTTGCAAAATCTGACAAATGCCTTTCTTTGTGGTTCATCCATCCACTTTAACAATGAGGACCAAAATAGGAAAAGGTCTCAAAGCCTTTGGTTGACATCTCCAAATATGCTGCTAAGATTTGTACAGAGGGGGTGGGATGGAGCAGGGTGGGATTAGGGTAGGCCTTCTGAAAATGAAGTGAACAAAATTTCTTTTCTTTGCTACCCTGTGAGATCTTGGCGTCCAAATCTACCAGTACAACTCTTTAGTACACTGCCTTGTCCTTGTCTAAGGTTCCACGGTACCTAAGACAGTGATGAGGGAGAGAGAAAGGTGTCCAGGGAGGAGTGCAAGGTAATGGTTTACCAACCTGTAACTCTGCCAGCTTCACTACCTGATTTCTGGAGTTACTTGTTTCTGCATAAGATGCCCATTTATCAAAAAAAATCCCAAATAGCTCAATATTATAACTACATGGGATATTCCCAGATTTTTAAGAAAAAATTATTTTAAGAGTACCTAATGCTCATAATATCTAGAAATTGTCGATGCTATCTAGAAATTGAAAGAGTCCTTCTAGGTTTCTCCAAAATAATTTTGGGACACCATATGGTACAAAGAGAAAGGAAGCAAATCAACTGTATGTGAGCAATGAACTTGGGTCATCATAGGCACCACTTCTGGGCACCTACTATATGTCAGGTTCTGGGGCAGACATTTTATGGACTTCAGGTATTTTATCTTTACAACAACCCTGTGAGATGGATACCATCATCATCATCATCATCATCATCATCATCATCATCATCTCTCCCACAATTGTCCTCTCTGGGGCTCAGAGAGGGTGCCAAACACACACCTGTGGCTACACAGCCAGCACGATTGCTAACACGGGAAGTCAGGCTTGCCTGCTGTTCTTTGCACTGTGCCATTTTCTATCCTCCTGTTTAATCACCTTTCATCCTCATGACATCTCTGAGAGGTAGATAGAATTTAGCCACCTTTACGGTGATGGAAATTTCATCTCAGAGAAATTAAATGACTTGCCCAAGATCACATAGATAGATATTCAGGGAGCTAGAATTTCACTTTAGGATTCTTGGATTGCAAAACTCAAACGTTTTTCTTTCTTATGTCATATGTAACTCACCCCATATAAGGTTTCAACTGATTTATTATTAATTGTTAAGCACAGAGGAAAATAACAGAATAACACTGATCATATTAATACTTTATATGGCCTTATGTGTTTTCCACACATATTGTTATATTTCTTACATTTGGTCTTTATTCAATCCTGGAAGCAAGGGAAGGAACTTTCATTGCCCTATAGAGACCATAGCTCTGGGTCCTCCACTGCTGGGTGACTCAAATCTCAGCTGTTTTCTCCCCTGTTATGTAGTCAATGAATATACATGGTATTTTTCTGAGTCTTTGTTTCTTCATGTAATAAAACAAAGATGATATATTACTCAAACTTCTTAGTGAATTGTGTTATCATCAGATGAGCTCATGAATAGGCTTTGCAGTCAGTTATTCCCATTCGTTTTCTCTCCATGTTAGAAGTGAGGAAATTCATGCTCAGGTGGCTTAAGTGAGATGCCCAAGCTTACACAGCTAGTAGTGTTGCCAAGGCTCAGTCCTAAACTTAACTTCCAATCGAGTCCTCTTTTTGCTAATATTTATCATTATTTCTCAAAAGTGTTATGTTAATGTAGTTTGAATCAAAGGATCAACTGTCAATGCTGTCAGAAAGCAGTAGACTTAAATCAATAACAATGTGTGTCACTCATCTCCTAGTTAAACATCCCCAGCATGTTTCTGGATGTTTCGCCATATTGGGAAGAGGGAGTACATTTTCCCACTCACTTATATCCAAGTAATCATTATTCAATGTAGTGATAGTTTGAGCACTTGTAGAAGTATTTGAAAACTTTAGAAAAATCAAATGATTTTTACAACCTGAGTGTCTTAGAGAATGGAATTTGGGGTTAGATCCACCCTTTCTCATCATGCTTTTTTGCAGCACTTTTAAATTCTGAGATTGAAGAGGACCTGAAACTTTCTTGCCATTTACTATTGGATTAAAATCCCAGGTTGCTACTATGGTAACCATACCTTGAAAATTAGATCTTGACAGAGTTACTAAAAAATTTAAAAGTGTACTGTTGCCATGAACTTTGAAGGAAAGTTGCTTACAATTGTCAACAACAGCCTCTTAATTGAAATAATCTGCCTTTCTGTTTGCTAGAAAGAGTTAGTGTGTCTTGGGGAGGGGAGACAAAACTATTGTATCTCGTTAGGTTTTTTAATGTAAAAATGGCTGTGGTTTGAGGCAAAGCTGTTTTCTGCATGAAATTTAAATCAACTTCAGCTCAATTTATGCTGTTCAAAAAAAAAAACTGTGATGTTCAGTATTCATGGTGGCAGGAAGCCAAGATGCACAGTAAAGACGTAGACACTCAGAGAAGATACTGCTGGGGTCTATCCCAGATAGACACCAGTGGCCCCAGGTTCCAAATGGCAGCCACTTTGAAACCACAGATTGCTGTGTCCGGGCTTCTGGGCATTTGGGGATGCATAGCAGCCTCATGACAGACTTTCAGCTCAAGAAGGCAAGCAGTCACTTATTTGCCTAGTGGCATAAAGATTGGAAATCATGTTCACATGTTCCCAAAGCCAGGGACATGAAACAAGCAATATAGGGTATCTTACCTTTCAGGAAGATGAGGGATTGAGGCATTTGGAATTTCAGAGATTTCTTTGTGCATTTCTCTCTCAAGGTCAGCAGATCATGGTGGGTCTGGTTTTATAATGAGTTGTGGTTATATCTGTGGCTCTGTAACAGGATTTTGATCAGACTGTGTGCCAAGGAGAATATGTGCCAAGACGGCCAGATTTCTACCTGTGAGGACCGTATAACCACAGGTAGCAGCACCTTTGGTTCACCTGACATAATAGGTTCACAAATTTGCAAGCTCCTGAGTGGAAGAGGTGGTATCCATTCACGTGATTCCTCAGCAACAGGTACAGGAAGGACCTACTACATAGTATATAAATACAAAACATTATTGAGTGTATGGTAGTCATTGATAGAATGATCGAGACGGTGCCAATAATTCTGGAGTAATGCTAATATTTTGACATATTTTGTTCTTATAGTCCTTAATCCATATTGAAATCTAATTGCATATGTGTGTGTGTGTGCATATATGGCTGGAAAGTAATTCAGTGTAGAAATTGAAGTGGACAGGCTCTAAAGTCAGAATACCTGGGTTCAAATCCCAGCTCCACTATCTTTTAGCCATGTGATCTTGAGCAAGTTACTTAACATTCTTATTGCTCAGTTTCCTCATCTGTAACATGGGGATACTAGTAACACTTAATCATAGGATTAAATGATTGAAGTGTTTATCACAGTGCCTGATACATAGGAAGATCTCAATAAACATTAACTATTGTTATTAATTATGCTCATGATTAGTATGGTCTTTATTACTGAGTGCTCTGAGTGAGTGCTGTTTTCACTACATTCCATTCTTCAGCCACCTGGGAAGCTTTTCACTCCATTTACTGAGTTGTCCCAGAGGCCCCTAGTTGGAGCAAGACCCACCCAGAATGCGTAAACCTGGACTATGTTGAACGTTTCCTCTGCTGACCCACCTACACCAGTCCCTGAGGATGAAAATGCAGGATGGCTAGAATGTCTTACATGCGTACAGTCTTTGTACGAGGCACATCTTCTTGTTCTTGTAGCTCATCACAGCATCTTGTCACAGTCACAATTATACTTTTATTTTGTGATTATTTTTAAAAAAATAAAATATAGGACTTATTAAGTGCTAGGTACTATATTGAGTGTTTTATATCCATTAGCTAATGACTGTTCACAACCTAATGAGATGCAGGCACTCCTGTTACCCACATTTTACACATGAGGAACTGAGGCTCATGAACTGAAGCTAAATTCTCGCAGCCAATAACGATGGGTGAGTGACTTGAACCTATGTCTGGTTGACTCCAGTAAGATACCCCTTAACCCTGGCCTTCCTGCCTGCCTATGGAATCTTCAATCCCAGAATCCATCTGGACTTGATTGTCTTGGGAAATGACAAGACCTCCTCAGAGGTATCAGGGAGGACAAGAAAGAGGGGACAAAGGAAGACGAGAACTTGACCAAAGACATTCTCTGCTCCTGATTCCCAGAATAGCATGCAATCACCACTGGAATAATTTTCTGAGTCATAGTTGTTGATTACTTGGTTCACATGTACAAGGGTACTTCAAAAAGTTCGTGGAAAGATTTCTATTATTATCTTTTAATTCTATTTTTCCATGAGTTTTAATATATATAGTATATATAAAATAACTACTTTTGAAATATCATAACAAGCATGTTGCCAATTTTATCTTTTTTTTTTTTTTTTTTTTTTTTTTTTTT